TGGTGCATGATGGGTGCGCAATTGAGTGTTGTCAGTGTATGCAGTGGTGCATGATGGGTGCGCAATTGAGTGTTGTCAGTGTATGCAGTGGTGCATGATGGGTGCGCAATTGAGTGTTGTCAGTGTATGCAGTGGTGCATGATGGGGTTGTGATAGAATGTTGCCAGTGTATGCTGTGGTGTATGATGGGTTCATGACAGAGTGTTGTCAGTGTATGCAGTGGTGCATAATGATGTCACGATAGAGTGTTGTCAGAGTATGCAGTGGTGCATGATGGGGTCACGATAGAGTGTTGTCAGTGTATGCTGTGGTGTATGATGGGTTCGCGACAGAGTGTTGTCAGTGTATGCAGTGGTGCATGATGGGATCGCGATAGAGTGTTGTCAGAGTATGCAGTGGTGCATGATGGGATCGTGATAGAGTGTTGTCAGAGTATGCAGTGGTGCATGATGGGAGCTTGTACAGATGCACCATTCAGGTTGTCCTGACGTGACCGAGCTGCAGCTGTCTGATGAGCTTGTGTGAGTGAGGCAGCGGCTCAGGATTTTATTTCACTTGTTTTATTTCTCACCTTTTTTCATTTTCTGTCCCTTTCCTTCTTTTCTTTCCTTCCTTTCCTTTTGTCCTCCACGTCTCACTCTTCTCTCACCCTCTCCTTTCCTCTCTATGCCTCTTCCCTTCTCTCTTCATTACTCTCCACCCCTCCCTCTCTCCCCCTTGCTTCCTCCATCTCTCCTTTTCATCTACTGTCTCTCTTCATCCCTCCCCTTTGCCTCCTCTTCTTCCTCCCCTCTCTTAACCCCTCTGTCCTTCCTCCACTCTCTCTCACTCCCTGCCTCCCGCCTTACTTGCCTCCCCCTCTCCCTTCCTTCCTCACTCCCTTCCTCCTCTTCTCTTCTCTTCCTCCCTCCCTCCCTCCATCTCTCGCTCACTCCCTGCCTCCCCCGCCTTACTTGCCTCCCCCTCTCCCTCTCTCCCTCTCTCCTTTCCTCCCCTTCTCTTCCCCTACCCGTCCCCCCCCCCCACCCCCATGGCAGCGTTGGAACAGCAGACGGTGCACAGTCCGCTGGAGCAGAAGCAGAGTGGCTCCATCCTGTGTCACACCTGTGCGGAGCCCTGCAAAGGAGAGGCACTGCGCGTCCAGAACAAACACTTCCACATCAAATGCTTCATCTGTAAAGGTAACCCCACTCCTGACCATCTCGCAGCCAATCACGAGCCTGTCTTTATATCTTAGCCCTGCCCACTGGCTGCCTCCCAACCAATCACAAACTTTATATGCTGTTGCTCAGATCTGTTGCCTCAGACACATGCGGATGGATATGTCATTTAGCAGTTGTTTGCTCTCATTTCTAGCATCCACAGGAAGTGATTAAGCAGCAGTGTCCAGAAAACAGCTAAAAAAAGTTAAATCATAAAAACAGACAAGGAGTGTTATTGTTATTGTCGAAGGCCAATGGTGTTGCTAGGCGCCCCGGGGCTGGGCAGGCATGGGGGCTTCCTGGAGCATGGGGGCCAGTTTGTACAGCGGCTCCCAGCTCAGGGAGGAGCTCAGTCACGTCCACCCAGCAGATCAGGGTCATGTGAAAGGGAACGAAGAGGCTGCCATAGCTCGATTTATTGATTTCAAACTTGTGAATACGCTGATGCTACCAGCTCTGGCATGTAAGTGTCCTTCCCTGCAGTCTGCTGTACTTTTTCAAGGTTTGAGTCTCTCAGAAATCTACAAAAATCCCTCGTCACATTTGGGAAATACACATAGGAGACAAGTTCTACTTTTATAGATTTATCTTCTAGCGGATGATGACTCCTATCAATGTCCCGCTGAACCCGAAGGAGCTCCAGGAGACCGGCCCGTGCCTCCGGTTTAACACCCCCCTCTTTTCGCTCTGGGGGGTGTGGGCCTCGGGTGATGTAATTCCTGCTGTTCTCTCATAGCCTCCCGCAGCCTTTAGGTCCCCAGCTGGCTGCAGGCCGACGAGAGTGAGAGCAGATCAGGCGTCCACCCCCACACTTAGGCCAGATGTGTGTTTTCCTGGCCAGATGTGTGACCTCCAGGCATGTGAGGGTGTAGCCAATGGCTGCTGAAGCCTGGCTCTTTGCTGTAGGGCCTTTGTTTGACCAGTAAAACTTCTATGAACGCTTCAAGCATCAGCCCAGTCTACCGCCATCAACGTCTTGTATTTTTAGCCTGTCCGAGGTGATTTCCCGTTACTTTCAAGAATTTTGACTTAACACGGATGGCGCTGTTGCGATTGCATCTGAAGATCCTTCCTGGTCAGTAAATCTGACTGTGATTTACTTGACGGTCTTTCACTTTGTATTTTCCCCCCACAATTCCTGTGGCAAAGTGAATGAATTGCAAGTAATCTCATTTATAGCTGTGCCTGGGTCATCGAGAAGAAAGGCCAACGAAGAGAGACAATTAATTAATTAAGGCGTTTCTTTTGGCGACGGGGCTCGTTTCAGCGGAGTATTGGACCAAGTGCGTTGGCCTCCCCGTTTATGGGCAGCGACAGCGGTGTGCATCAAGGGTGACTGCTTTATACGTGTCTCTGATCTGTGGACTTGAGCTAGAGGGTGTAGCAGACGATCTCCGAAGCCCACGGCTCTTTTGTAACAGGCAGTAAAATATTGCCTTGTTTTCATTGACTTCGTGGAGGAGGCTTCGATATGCCTGTAGATGTCGGGGAATTCGACGTGTCCCAGCCTGACGTCACAGAGGCACGCGATGTAATGCGGGCCAGGGGCTTGTATCACTGCACATGCTCAGCATCGGGATTCCATCAGCACACTCTTGCCCCGCCCACACAGCCAGCCCATAACTTTATCTCCCTGTGGGGAGTCTCCACCCCAAAACAAGGCGGTTTGATTCACGTCAGGCATACAGCAGATACCAGATCCAGCTTTTTTCTGGAAAATACCAACTGGAAGTAGCTGATACTCCTATGATTTAAGTTGAATATAATGTTGATACTTCATTGTGTCATTTATACAAGTGCATAGGAATTCTTTATCTTTCACGTGGTCCATCTTGCGAGGGTGTTTCTGGAGTTAAGGGTCTTAGTTGACCATAGGATTTGAACCAACAACCTTCCAATCCCAGAGACAGAGATCTAACCTGCAGCGCCGCATGCCATCTCTCTTGGGGGACAGTGTGGTTCCTGAGGTGGCACAGTAACAGAACGGCGTGGTGAGGAAGCGCCAGGACCTCATGGGATAAGAGGTGACAGGTGCCCCTCAAGCGATGAGCTTTACTGAGAGAACAAGGGAAGACCAAACAAAAGGGGGTCTGTTACCAGGTGGTGGTCTACCTTTGGGTGGTCGTCATCCCTTATTCCCTCCCCTTCAGGTAGGGGACGCCAGTCCCTTCACTTCGCAATGACTTTTTACAGATTCCTAGTAACTGTAACATACACAGACGTGTGACGTCTAATAGGCCTGCGTGTGCGTCTGTATGCGCAGTGGGAACAGATTGGCGTTTATAGCCAAGAGGTGGTGTGTGGCTCTGCTGGTTAGGAGGTCTGGAGTTTGCGGGCTTAAATCTCATGATCAGCAGAGTGATGTCACCATTGGTCCCTAGAGCTGGGCCCTTAGCCTCATTTGCTCCAGGGACTGTCTGACTCTGCTTCCTCAATTGCACATCACTTTGGATAAAAGCATCTCCTAAATAGATGTAATGTAAAGTAACTTGATCTGTCTCTTGGATTCCTGGTACACACCCCTCGAGTGTGATTTGCTTCAGTGAGCCCCACATACACCTTGACCCCTGTAGTACACCATAGGGCCAGACATCCGGGCTGAAGCCTGATTGGTTCCTTGTGGGCAGATGTCATAGAATCCGGCCCATCTGATTGGGCGGCTCCAGCTATGCTGGCCTGTACCCCATGCTGCGGATCCCTGCAGGCTGAGGAATGTCCTGCTTCTCGGGTTTCCTGTGGGAAGGCTGGCACTGAAAGGGCTTAGGGCCGCGATTGGCTGCGTTCCTGTTACCTGAATCTGTGAGACGTCTCGCTTTAACGCCGCGTGGGAACCAAGTGTCGCAGGCCGCCCCCGGGACTGAGGCGGGTCTTTTGGCCTGCTCGTGTTACAGATCTGTGAGGGTGCGTGTATTAGCAGAAATACGGCTGGAATGATGCTGCGTTTGACCAGCATGGCACATAGCTGAAGGGGAGGCCGACAGAAGCCTGGGCGATGTTAGCCTTACACCCAGAGATGGTGTCTGATCGTGGGGAACCTGTTTCTTATACATGAAATATCAGGAGCTTCACCATGACCTTTGGCACTTGGGGTGCTGGCTAGGCATGGGCTGGTATTACGGTAATATCGTATACTGCAGTATTTTTATTAGTTTTTTTTCCTAAAATACCAGAATTGCGTTGCTTTTTAAAATACTTTTAAAATACCACACAATGCAGTGTAATGTTTGGACGGTATCACAGTATTAAAAATGAGCCCATACCCAAGCTTAGCGCTGGCTGGGTGGGGGGAGGGGGCAGATTAGGGGTGTTGAGGTTGGTAAAATTTGCCAAGCGTGTGGGGCGGGGGTGTGGCAGTAAAGTTTCTTGCTAACTAATTTTTACCGCTGCTGAATTATGGGGGATTTCCGGGACATAGAGCATCACTGGCGAATGTCCGGAAGCTGCTGCAGCTTTGAGGGGAGATTCCCGGAGCTTCCAGGAGAGGTGGGATGTCTGCTTGCCGTACTACACTGTGACTGCAAGTGCTTATGGGACATGGATCAAAATGTATACAATAAATATACACATACCTACATTTGATTATTTGATTATTCCTATATTTATTGATTTACTAATAAGTAGGGCTACCACTAACGACTATTTTTCTATCAATTAATCTATCGACTATTACCGATTTGTCGATTAATCTGAACGATTAATTTTCTTCCTAAAAATATTCAAGTAAATTTTATTTTGACAAGAACAAACTATTTGTCATCACAGACCTTTAGAAACTTGCATAAACATGCATACTGGAACCATCAATCAGCGACGAATAAACCCAGATTGTAGCTTAAACATTTTCTCAAACACTTATTCAATTTAAATTCTAAGGTAGCAGTCAGACAATTTTGTGGCTTTAATAATGAGTGTATTTAGCAGTTATCTGGACAAAAGGTATTAAAAAGCTCCCCATGCAAACAGTCATTTAATAAACGTGAATGGACAGCACATGAGGTGGTTTTGCCTCTTCTGTTGGTCCCTAATCCAGAATAGCGCCTGTGCATTTTCTCTTCAGGTGCTTGTGCACTTTCCGCAGTATAAAATCACCCTTTTGTTTTGGGATAACTCCCATAATTACATAGTGATATCAAAGGAAACCTATGTGATATCAAATTGGAGCATTTTAGAAAGCATTTTAGAAAAAACATGCGTTGATTTGAAATATTGATGCATCATCAGTGTCGACTATGTTGATTAATCGCGGCACCCCTTCTACTACGGTCGACTCGATCTACAAGCCCCATTTCCACTATTATTTCTGTTTCAGTTTCTTTTTAAGATTCATTCTGTCCCAGAAAAGGCCACACGTTCACCCAGATAGTGTCTGGGCACCGGCTGTAGAAGAGCCCTGTGCAGGACTGTAATCTGTTACTCCGCCCCCCCCCCCCCCCCCCCCCCCCCCCCCCCCCCCCCCCCCCGCCCCCGCCCCCCTGGCCCCCCACCTGCACTGTGTCTGCTCCTGCATGCTCCAATTATTCACACCCCAGGTTGTTTTATCTGCTGTTCCACAGAGCGAATAAAAACCCGGATGTTTCTCATGCTACTTCCTTTACTGATGTTTTATTTCAACAACAAACAGACAATTAGGAGCAAACGATTTTTAATTAAAACGAAAAAGCTGCTCTTCTTAAATGTCTGTGTCAATGACAATCGACGGCCTTTCCCTCAAGTCTGGCCCGCTGGGGACCCTGGATTGCTTTTAATCGATTTCTGATGGCTTTTCCTGATGTCCCTGTCACTCTCTGTGTGATGGTGTTTAGTCACCAGCAGTGGTGTCACTGCCGTTTATCTAGTTATCCTTCTTAGAGCAGTGGTATGCCTTTTCCGTATGAGCGAGCGACTTCTTTCCCCGCCGCCATCCATGTCCTGCCTGCTCTTGTCAGTCTGTTAGCTAAGAGTAACGGCAGTTCTCGTTAAGTCCAATTCGCAAGTCTTAAGATTTTATTGTCCACTTTAAACATACGAGACAACCTTCACTTGGAGGAGCAAGCGGTCAACTTCTCAGCAGCCAATGAGGGTTAAAGGCCCGCCACAGCACGAGCCAATGGGAAGAGCCATTCCATGATAAATATTAGTTGTTCTGTAGGTGGGTGATAATGATGGCCACGCCCATCGAGTTCCTCTTCCAGCTGTGTTAGATCTTCCCAAATGACATTCCCGTCTAGCCCAACGAGTAGCGCAAGTACCATCATCAGATTTCTGAGACATGATAACAGATCCACGCCTCTTCCAGTACTCTGCGTGCCCAGTAACTTAATCTTCCTGAGGCAGTCGTTTTGATCCGTGAGATGTTTATTAGTTAGCGCCTGCTGTTTTCCAGCTCAACCTGGTGCTTGAGCTGTACATTCACGGGGAGCTGGTAAGTACAGCACCCAGAATCCCCCGGTTAACTTAGATGATGTCGGTGGTATTTTCGGTATGGGTAGGTTTTCCCTGCCTCTTGCGTGCCTCTTGTCTGATCTCCGGTAACTGGGCCAGGCTCCCAGCAGAAGGCAGCACCACGGTGTAAATCAGGGCCGGGTCGCATTCCCTCCCGGGGAGCGGCTCGGGCGCCCCGCCGCGCTCCGAGCGAGCCTCGCCAAAAATGGAGCTGTGTTTGTGTGTGAGGAAGTCGGCTCCAGTCGGGCCCTGTGGCATCACAGTGAAACCGACACCCGAGGCCTGGCGTTGCCAGGGTATTAGTGGCTGACGCGGAGGTCGGGGAGGGGCACCTTTACAAGCGGACCTAGAGATTGGAGTGATGGAGAGGCTCTGCTCAGGGGGATTCAGGTGACCCCCCAAGCGATGCCTAACAGTCCTACAAATGCCCCCCTCCACCTCGTCAGTCCTCAAGGCCAGCTGCATTAACGCTCTCTGCATCAGACATGACAGCGCCCCCTGCAGGCTTGCTGGCACTGCACAGCGGCGCACCTGCTGGCTGTATAAATAGCCCCTGACTGAAAGCCTGTCTCCTCTGCGGACGGGTCCCGCCCATGGACCCTCGCCGGCTCGCGTTACGGCACTGCCGCTGACACCAGGACCCTGGCATTTCCTTCAGTCACTTAGAGCTCGTAAGATAAATGGCCGCGTCAGGCTTTGTAACCGACCAATCCATGTGTCTGCTTGTGGTCCGTGTGAGAAAGTAGCTGGGGTTCCGGCTCATTCCACAAGGGTCCCTGGACAGGGCAGGGGTCCTGACTGTAATGTTCTGCCCGCCTCATTGTGTGTCTGTCGGAAAGTATGCTGCCATTTCCTGAGAAAGGCTCCGGCGCTGTTTCTATCGGAGCTGGACCCGTGTTTTCCAGAAGCAAACGTGAATAGCAGCAGGTAGCTGTTTCGTGTGGTAATCCCCCCCCCCACACACACTCACCTGTCAGTATGATTCACTCGACATCATTATACCCACGAAACACCGCAAAATCACAGATTTATTTAGTTCACATGGCTGGAACATGTCTTTATTTGGATCTTATAAAACATAAAACAAAGTGTATAAAAGGCAGGCTGATAGGAGTTCATCTGTGAGCTGCCCGTCAGTCCTCGCTGATTGGCCCCCAGGGACCGGTCTGTGGAGGATGATGTCATGCACCAGCACTCTGTGTTTTCCTGGAGCTCTGGAAACAGACCATTGTTTGTGTCGGCCCGGCAAATCCGCACTGGGTTAACGCCTTTCTTGTGAGCGGTGGGGCGATAATGTTGCGTCCCGGACTCGAGAGTGGGCTGTGAAAACAAAGGGGGTGTGTGGTCGAGTCCCGTTTCCGGCATGTTTCCCACCACGCCCACACAGGTGCCGCCAGATAGCAGCAGACTCATTAGCTAATTGCTCATGTGGGAGCCAAGGTCTGCTCTCTCTGATTTTGGTACCCTTGAGACTGACCTGGTATCAGAGGGTCATGGGTGTGAATCTTGGAGGGGATGTGCCCCACCACCACACCTGACCCATAGCCCTGGGGTTATACCAGGACAGGGAAACAAAGGGCAGTGATCATATAGAAAAGCGTTTGGAAAATGACTGGGTTTCTGGTACTGCTGCTGAGTCGGGTACATAACATACAGTCATGACGTGGCTGTATTACTGGGTACATAACATACGGGCACTGGCTGTATTACTGGGTACATAACATACGGGCACTGGCTGTATTACTGGGTACACAACATACGGGCACTGGTTGTGTTACTGAGTACATAACATAAAAGCACTGGTTTTGTTACTGAGTACATACCATACA